GCCGGTGCTGACGCTCTTGTTCCCGACAGCTGCCATCCAGCATTCGGCACTTGCGAGAATGGAGGCATTCTACGAGTCCGACTCGTCGTCCAAGCGCTACCTGTCCCTGCAGGAGGCACGCGACGAGCGCATCTGTCGCAACTACCAGGGCTTCAACTTCCCTGTGTTTGAGGGTGTCAAGGTTTGGTTGCAGGCTATGTCTGCTGCGGTGAACTCGAGCGCTTCTGGTACTGCAGGTGGGGAAAGATGGTGGAGTGAGCACTGTAATGACGAAGAGAGGCAGGTGCTGGACGTTCTAGTGGATGTAGGAGCCATTGCGGCCGATGAAGGCGTCAATGGACAGACGAACGGAGCAGCTTCGGCAGATGCCAAAGTGACCTACGTGATCTCCACCACGGCATCCCAGGCAAACTCTACGCTGCCACACGAGCTTCTTCATGCGCTCTACTTCCTCTCTCCTTCCTACCGATCATTTGTTTCGTCGCAGTGGGATTCCTTGACCTCTTCAGCCCGCAAGGCCATCGAGACCGACATGGGCCTCCGCAAATACTCGCCGGCTGTATTCCAGGACGAATTCCAAGCCTACCTGGCCGAAGGATTCGGCACGGAGAAGGAATTCGGAAACAAAACCGCAGGCGAATGCAAACCCATCGCTGAAGAACTCAGAGCCAGAGTACCCCAGGAATGGAACAAGCTCGGTTTCAACCTACACGGCAAAGAAGACAGGTGGGAATCGGTCAAGTGGGAAACCCTTGACCGATTTGCCGCGGCGCAAAAGGCGGCCAAGAAGCAGGCTAAGAACAGCGCAAGCCCCGCATCCAAGGAGAAAGCCGGCAAGAAAAAGATCAAAAAGTAGCCATGTCATCTCAAAACCAGACTGCATGGTTCCTCCTCGCTCCACTACCTCGATACGAATGGGCATCAGCATACCTTCAGCATATTTTAGCATCTTTGACACTCACACTGCCCTGCTTTCGTCAATCTCAACGCATTGGTCTTCATCCGTATCGGAGCACGTACAGCGTCTTTCGGAGTTTGCTCAAACAGCATCGGGTATTGTCGGGTGGTGAATGTAATCGCGTCAACACTAACGCAAACGGGGGAAAAATACTGGATTGGATACAACAGTTACGGCCTCGAGTCGTTGGACTCTCGTTGCGGGAGCATCTCGATTGATTCTTCGTGTTCCTGTTCGAGTTTGTCTGGCTCGGACTGGGAGAGAGGTTGATGGAGTCCTCTTGCTCTATCTGCAGAAGAGTGTCTAGGGTTGGATCCAGGGAGGCGGTTTGCGAATCTCGAGAGGCCGGGGATTTTTTGCAGCAGAGCCGAGCTGGAGCTTGTCTGTGTGAGATAGTAGACGGGCACGCCGGCAGTGATGAAGAGCAGAGCGGCCAGGCCTTCCAGTGGCGCGCTTCCGATGGGCATGAGAAGGAGAAAGAGGGCCACGGCTGCAAACAGAATCGGAGTCGGCAGCATGGTCTTGTAAGGTCGATGAAGATTGGGCTCCTTGATCCTGAGGACCAGCAGCCCCAACACCGACGCGAGATAAAACGTCCAGCTGCAAACGCCGTAGAAGTTGACGAGCGACGCGAACCCGGATCCGAAGGTGATGAAGAGCGTGATGAGCACCAGCTGCAAGATGAGTGCCGAGACGGGGGTGTTTGTGATTGGGTTGAGGTCGGCAAAGAATCCGGGTAGGTAGGACTCCTTGGAGGCGGCTAGGATCAGACGAGCCGTTGTGTAGATCTGCCCGTTGAGTGCGCCAAAGCAGGAGAAGGCTACGAGGAACGCAAACACCATTCCACCCGCAGTCCCGCCGATGGCACTTCCAAAGTCGAGTGCAACTGTGTTGGTCCGCTTCACCAGGTCCACGGGCAGCACGACAAAGTACGAAACCACGGCCGAGAGAAAGATGAGGATCACCGTGGCCAAAGAGATGTGGATGACCCGAGGCAGGTCCCTTTCTACCTTTTTCATCTCGCCTGCGACGAAGCAGCTCTGGTCCCATCCGTCGAATGCCCACAACCCGCTGTAGAGTGCCAGTGCGTAGGCTGATGGCGAGCTCGAACTGCCCTCAAACAGCCCGCCGATGCTGGAGAACGCATGGGCCGACGTCGGCGACATCTTGCCTCTAGCGGCCTGGATGATAGCGAGGATCGGAACCGCAGCTAGGGCTAGTAGCTTGACCACCGTCGTTGCAATTTGTGTGCGCGTGCCAAGCTTGTTAGAGACGGCATGTGTCAGTGTGATAAAGGCGGCAATACCGACGGCAAGCAACTTGATGGACCAGTTGGGGATCCCATCGAGTCCGGTCTCGTGTGGGTGATCTGCGGCCTTGCCCGTAGCATGAAAGATCATTCGAGCTACGTACTCGCCAAAGATTGTTGCAATGATGGCAGCGGCTCCCGGCTTGAGTGCGGTCAGAGCCGACCAGGTGTACAGGAATGCCGAGAGCGGACCGAACGAGTAGTTGAGATACGCCTGCGAGCCGCCGTTAAGCGGTATCGATGCACCGAGCTCGGCAAATGAAGATGCACCCGTCCACGCCAAGATACCAGACAGCATCCAAATAACGATCGAAGCACCGATGCTGCCGGTATTGAGTGTCACTACACCGGGTGAACTAAAGATTCCGGATCCAATTTGAACGCCGATGGTCAGCGCAATGCCGTCGATCAGCGTCACTCGCCTTTCTATATGATCCCTTGACCTCCCTCGCCCGTGACGTCGTGATCGTGTCCTACCCGAAGACCCTCCTCCTGTCGCTGACACTCTGCCTTCCACGTCCCCGTAGTCGCCTGCCATGGTTTCGTCGCCGTCTCCGCTCAAACTGAGCGGTAAGAGATGATCCCGATAACCAAACGAAAGCGACTCTATGCTTGCCCGTGCAGCGGCTAGTTTAGACGGGAAAGTGGATGATGTTGTCCCTTTCGCCTTTTCCACGTCATCGTCGAGGTCTCCATCGGCGATCTGTGGTGCTGGCAAGACGTTGCGGTCCTCGAAGACGACAAAGTCGTCATCGTCGCTCTGGTTGTCACTGTCGTTGTGGTCATCGTACAGCCTCGCTTTACCCTTGCCGTTATCTGTGACGGTCGGGTGTACCGACTCGGAGTGCAGATCGGCGCGCTCGTCGGGAACGCCGACAGCTGCGATAGCCGCCCCGACAGGATCACTCGCCATCACGCCCAAGTTCGGGTCGCTGAGCCGCCTAACTCGAGGTCACTTGCAAGGGCTGCAGACGCCGTGAGAGTGAGCCGAACTAGCGTTTTGGGGTGTACTGGCACCGTGCTGGTCAAGGTCAAGCGGAGGTGTGACGTCCGAAAAAGCGGTCAAGGGTGTCTGTTGTTTTGTATTGTGGTGTGTTTCTCAAAGTGACAGCGTGCACGGCCAGGTTGTGCATGTCTCGAATAGTGCCCTGTCCGCGCCCGACTTCCGAGATACGCGACTCGCGTGGCCACTTTTTTCTCCTCAGGCCACTCACTCCACTTTCGGAATTCTCGAGGTCGCCTATGATCGTGTCGACGCTCACCATCGCTGACCCTATCCGCACGAGTCATTCTCTGTACACACTGTCTCTTGTTAATAGATCGTAATGGCCGAGAACAAAGCGACTGCATCAGGCTCAGCAAGCACAGTTGGCGGTCAAACTGGCACGAAGAAAGACCAACACGTAAGAAAAGGGCAGCATGATGGACCATCCAAGCCATCAGCAACAAAGCCGTCCAAGCACACACATAGTCGTGATGGAAAGCGCGCAAAAGGGCCTGCATCTTCTCAGCATCCACCGAAGAAGGAATCTAAAGCAGATTCTCAGCCTGTCGACAAGCACAGAAAAGCCAAGTCCATGAACGGCCAACAGTCGAATGCACATGGCAAAGTGAGCTCAAAAGCAGAATTCAGGGCCAAGAATATCGACTCAACTAAATCTGCACAAGGCAACAACAAATCGAAAGCTCAAAAGGCAAAATATGATCCCAAATCGCAGAGGCAGGATAAGGGCCAACATAATGGAAAGAACAAGAATCCCCAGGGCAACGCAAAGAAGGGCAAGGAGGACGAAAAGTCGAAAGGAAAGCCAAGCACCAGCAAAGGAGGAGGCCATGCTTTCTTTGAAGTTGTGGACGAGGCAGAAGAACGTGCACGACTAGCGCCAATCTACCAGGCTCAGAAGCAAAAAGCCAAGATTGCATCTGGGCGAACAGAGGTGGCTGATGGCGTGCTGGAGGACGACGAAAAGTCCAAGCTCGGCAAAACAAAGGCCAAGCGGGTAGAAGCCAAGTCACGTCTTGAGCTAGAAACGTTCGAAGAGGAAGTCGAAGACGACGCCGGGTCAAAGCAGATAGCCGCAAATCAAAGGTCCCTTGAAGAGCTGCCGCCTCACCTGAGAACCAACAAGGGAGAGTCCACCGACGCGCGCAAGCCCAAGCAAGCTCGAAGTAGCACCACCTCGGCCCCCAAGAGGAAAGACGTCGATGACGACAAACAGGACGACGTGGATCCGGACGACAGTGTGCGCACATCTGTAGTTGGGATCGTCGATGTCAGAGCCGAGAGGAAACAGACCAGCGCCAAGAAGCGCAAGCACGAAGGCCACGTGGCCAGCAGCGATAAAGATGCGACAAAGAAGCAAAAGCGCGCCTCGTTCGTGCTCCCGCCCAAGCAAGATGCCAACTCGGATCTCTTCAGCGGAAGTGGTGCCGATGCGTGGGGCAGCAGCAGCGCCTGGTCGTGATCTACTCAGACTTTTCCTCCTCGTTGGATCCTGTATACAGCACGTGATTGCTCATCATTGATACCAACTGACATCCACTGCCCGGTCGACTATAGCATGGCTAGTTTGTGTAGAGGAAGATAATATGACCGATACACACCCCTTGGCTTGTCTTGAACGCTCGACGACACTACCCACGAAGTGCTTATTGGCCATAAAAAATATCGCAAGTAGTGTGGAAAATAAGGAACATATGTGGGGGTAAAAATCGAAAAAGAGAGAATTTTCGTGACAAGAGTGGGATTCGAACCCACGCCCGAAGACAACGGTTGTATAGATCTCAGGATAACCTGAACGTTGCGCCTTAACCACTCGGCCATCTTGCCTAAGCGATGCCAGATCAAGCTGGCTTTTGCGTACTACACCTGTTGACATTGGGCTCAGAAGCTGACTATGCCTCCACTTGCTATCGTCTGCATAACCGCAGAGGTAAGCCGTTAAACACATGGCCATCTTCTGAATGTAGCAGCAACCCTAACCGGAATCTTGTGGGCCCACAATGGCCGCTGTTGCTGCCTCGGTTCTCGTTTCTCGCGCTCTGGTTGCGCTGCTGACGATGCATGGCATCACTTCGTCGGTGGCTTGTCACATCTCATCATCACTCTAGATTTCCAGAAAGAACAAATCCAGATTCCTTCATCCACTGCCTCATCTGACCTCCATATAAGCACATACACCTTGTTCCCGTCTCGACGGACATCACGATTCGCCCACAATTCTTCGCCAATCACCTCTCCGACTGATCCTTAGAGCTCCCTTTCGAGCGGACGGGATTGCATACAAATCGACGCTTGCCAAGTCTGCATCTGCACTACACGCGCAGGGTACAAGCACGCGACCGGAACAATCCGCCAACGCGCAGCAGCAACCGAGGCGCAGCGCCTCATTTGCATCCGACAAGTCCATGGCCGAGCTGCTTCGAGCCAGGCGCGAACAGACACAGCAGGAATTATTGAAGATGGAGCGCTCAGTCAACGTGTTTGGACGACCGCTGACCCAGTGCGGTACAAATCCCATGACCGGCTTCTACAGAGATGGCGTGAGTATGGGTCATATGGCTACAGTTGATGACGCTTCGAAGCAGCCTCAAGATCAAAAACAGTCACTGAACACTGGATCACTTGCTAATTCGACTGTACCCTCTTGTACTTTCTTTTTTTCGTTCACAGTTCTGTAATACGGGTCCGGCAGACAGTGGAGCACATACACTGGCGGCAGTCGTCTCTCAGCGCTGGCTAGACTTTTCGGCGTCCAAGGGCAACGATCTACGCCCGATCCTGTCCGAAGGCTGCTCGTGGTGTCTCTGCGTCTCCCGCTGGAAGCAGAGCCTCGATGCCTACCGACGCGGCGATCTGCCCAAAGAGGGCGTCCCTCGAGTCAAGCTCGAAGCAACTCATGAGCGCGCTCTCGACGTTGTTTCCATGGACGACCTCAAGGAGTTCGCGGTCGAGGATGGCAAGTGCCGGGCTCCCCAGGACCCAGCCCAGGGTGGACCCATTCGCTGATCAGGTCCACAATATACGTGTAGCCCCTTGCATTTTTTCCCCTCTTTTGGGCTCGTCCATGCTATATAGCTTGTGTAGATTCCATTCTGTCCATCTTTGTCTTAATCTTGGGTTTCATGGCGTGTTCTGCTTCCACGTAGTCCGTGCCTTTGCCTTTGCGAGAGAGCTCCTCGTTGCACGAGATCGTCCGCTTCATCTTGGAACTGTATTAGCTCGACTCGGTCTATGCGCCTGGGACGGCCATCGATTGAAGTAGCATAGACCAAGCCGGCATTGTAGGAAACACCCGGAGCGATCGTTAAGACTGTTGTTACATTTTCTATTGTACAGTTGAGTGGAGTTGTCAAACTTCAACGATTCGACGGCGGTATCGAGGTCGTCTAGAGAAAGTGTCAGGAATCTGTGAGGATGTCGCTAAGACTCGTCCTCAATCTTCTTCCATATTTGCTCGGTCTTCTTGCGGTTCTCTCTAGAAGCCTGAATGTGCTGTGCGGTGCGGTCGAGACGCTGTTTTGGGAGAGAAGTCAGGCAGAATTCGTCGGGGTCGTCAGTCACGCTGCATGAATTGGGCGATGTGCAACAGGATGCAAGCTGTCCAACTCACCTCGGCTCGGAGACACATGTTGAGGTCGTGCTTGATGTCGTTACAGCCACCAGTGATCTTGTGGAACCAGCCCTTGGCATGACACTCGTTCAGGGCTTGGATGAGATGGGCGCAGTCTGTAGATGGACATAGCAGTCGGAAGTCATGAGTTTACTCATCAAACGGAGAGTAATTCGGATGCCAAAGGCATCGTAGAATACTCACGCTCAAGCTTGCGATCGCCAACCAGATGCTGTTACATGGTCAAGGTACGAAGAAAACGGCGCAGAGATTGCTGTCAGTCTTTTCTCCGTACGGAGCAGCCCGGGCTTGATTGAGCAACTTCATGAGCACGAATGCGGAACGAGCTGTTCATAGACACCTACAGGGTGCATGGCGGCGTTTCGATGTTTGTGTCGAGGTCATTGATGGCGAGCAGACGTGAGACAGCAAGGACCCAATGGTCAGCTTCCGTCGCTTTTGAAGATTCCGAAGAAAGGGTTCTTCCTGCGGCCCTTAGCTTTGCATGCTGACAACGGCGACTTTTCTGATGGCCTGATTTTACAGATGTTAGGCCCACACAATCCTATCACGATGCAACAACTACCGTGTTGAGAGGGAAGATGTTGGACTACCAAACGCTGACGCGAGCAGGGTTCAGGCACAGGGCGACTGTCGTGCACTGAGTGTTGATCTCCTGCAGCTCAAGCAGCGGCTGCAGGACAGGAACCCACCTGCGAGGGTCCACTGTGATGAGCAGTTGACAGGTTTGACTGACATAGTGCGGCACGGTGCGCAGTGAACAATATTTATTTTACTGTCTTGCGCGACCTCCTAAACAACATCTAGGGGCTCTCACTGTCGCGGTGGTGCCTCATCCTGCATGGCGTGCATGCACCGCCCAGCGCCCACACGCAATCCGCGCCCCTCCTCCTCCTCTTCGTCTTGGCGCTCGCACCCATATGGACTAGATTGCACCGCCTCCGACTTCGCTCCTTTCATCCTAAATCCATCCTCGCAAAGTGCTCACGCACCAGTCGGCGCTACCCACTTTGCCCTCACGATCCATCCGCCTTCACGACATCTCACGACAACCTCAGATTCCTATTCTACTGTCAACGGCGACTCTCAATCGTCTGTCGGACAGCAACAAACTCTTTCGATCAACGAGAAGAGCGGATCACGACAAACGCCACTTTGTCTAACTTGGCGACGGCGACAAAGCGGCTCCGTCACCTCCAGTAGCGCCAAACCGCCACGATGCCGGACTTTATGTCGCTCAAAAAGATCTGGGGCAAGCTCGAGTCGGGCAATGATCAGGACCAAAACTTCAGCCAAGGCATTGGCAATACTGCTTCAGCAGGGCCGGGTGTAGTGGTACCACATGATGACAAGGTGGCCAAGAGCAACATGATTCTGCGAGCGTTACAGGTGTTCTTCGGCCTTGTGTCGCTCCTGATAGCGGTATGGATGGCGACGTTCCAGACTAAATGGACCGGATCTCCCTCAGGGCTCACAGGCCTGATCCTCTTCCTGGCTTCAGCTAGTCTGCTCACCTCGTTACTCTTCCTGCTCGTTCCAATTATATTTGAGCGATCGGGCTACAAGACATTCAAGAGCCTCACCCGTGCTCTGTCCGAGGCACGCGTCGGCATGGTGACCAATGGCATCTTTTCGTTCCTGCTGCTGATCCTGGCCGTAACGCAGACCATCTCCGCGTACACTTCAGCAGGCTGCAAGGACCCGACGAAGGACCCGCACGCCGATGGCAAGGGAAAGGAAGACTTTATCGCTGCTCTAGATGGCTGGTGCCGAACCAAGCGAGCTGAGGCGGCATTCTGCTGGTTCCTCTGGGTGACGTGGTTCCTCTCGCTGCTTCTCTTCCTCAAACAGTGGAGAGTGGAGCGGAAGAACGGTCCGCGCATCCCGCCGTTCGTCCATCCGACCGACGACTCGGCGTTTGAGCCAATCAATGACCTCGACGACGACGATGCCTACGACGAAGCGCACAAGTCGTCCGGATACGGCGACGGCGTAGATGGTCACTACGGAACTGCGGGTAATCCGACAATGTCTTCGTATGACCGCAGGGGCAGCAACCCTCTGGCCGACATCGAGGCTCGCTATGGCATGAGTCCAGCCTACACTGCTGATCCGTTTGCAGACCGCGCAGCAGCAACAGGATACGGCCGTCCGTCGTACGACTACAATGCCTACGGCACTGGCGCAGGGGCTGTGCCGGGTGGCTACGCTGCGGATCCTTACTCGGCCATCAACCACCAACTGAGTGCAGCTCGACACAACGAACTGCCTCCGCAGCTGCCACCGATTGGCTATGGATACCGTTGAGGCGGATCGGATGGAGCAAAGCGAAGATCAAGCAAGCGACCGTCTGATCCATTTTGTGTACCCGTGAACCGGCAGTCGCCATCACCTTTTTGGTACCCAAACGTAGTGTCAGGCCGTCAAAGATCTAGTCTCGCTCTTGCATGCACCACTTCCTGACTTCCGCACCTCTTCGTCCCGGTTGTCAGATCGTACTATTTGTATTGTAGGACATTCAATGCCTCCGACCGCTTCTCTTTGTCTTTCTTTCTTTCCTTGTCTTTCTTTCTTTCCCTGTCTCCTCTCCCCATGTTGACTCTTCCTGTTGCTCTTGACGCCTTACGTGCGGATCTTGTGCCTTATCATAGCGGCCAAGAGCTTGTCTGCGACTCCGCTGCCATCTGTATTTTAAATGTACCCTTAACCCCCGATCGAGTGGAGTGTGGAGCGATGCGACGCGAAGAATATCCGGTGTGGAGTGTGTGGAGCAGCCAGAAGTGGATGGTGGACCCATGAGCATGTCTTCGGCTCTCACCGAAACGGGCTATACCGAGGACACGGTCAAGTCAGGGTGTTGAAAGCTCGCGATTGGCGGAGTGCCAAGTGTCAGGTTGCAAGGGTCCAGGTCGTGTGATACAAACGTCGCAATTGCAGAGATGAGATTAATTCTCGGAGATGGCCGAGAAGAAGACATCTACGCGCTCTGCAGCATCAATACGGTAGCCAATCTCGTCGCTGCCCGCATTGAAAACAGGCGGATGCAACCTCATCTGCTTGCAAACACATGGCTCAATATGGCAGCGACTCCTTATTGGTTCCCAAACATCGCTGCTTGTCAATCCCCACTGTGATGATGCGGATGTCACTTGTCAAACTGGGATACACAAAGATAAGGTTCAAGTCACAACTGTAA